TCTCTCTCTCTCTCTCTCTCTCTCTCTCTCTCCATGACTCATTCTCTCACTCTCCCATTCTCTCACTCTCTCACTCTATCTATTACCTGGCATATCAGACTCGGTTACTTTCGTTTTTCTCCTCTTGTGTTCCCTACGTCTATTCTAATTCTAACAATACCAATATTATGTATGTTGGTTTCAAGCCACCACAATCAACGCGCCATAGTGTTTATCTCTCTATATCATTGATAATAATTTACATAACGGCTCCGTTCCGTTTCAGACGGCTCTGCACTGCGCTGTGAGCGAACACCATCAAGACGCGGTGAAATCCTTGCTCAAAGCCGGCGTCAACGCAAATCTCAAGGACATCGACGGCAATACAGCCTTGCACCTGGCAGCACGTTCCGGCGATGACGTCATAGTTATGCTGCTTCTCAAAAATGGCGTCCAGGTATGTAATACAACGTAGAACTGAGTGTGTAGCCTTAACATAAAAGATATCGGATACTCAAGCACACAGAACTGTTCACGATTGTATTAGAAGTCCAACCCATGCCTCCATAAATCATATTATACTTTATCTCTGAACCCTTATACCAGCAACAAGACAAAATATTGTATATCTGTCCCCGTCGTTTTATGCAAGAAAAATTCTGAAATTATGCAAACTGAGCCCAAAAATGTGAAATTATGTCATTCTCTTAATTTTAACAAAGAATGATAAAGGACAATAATCAGAAATTATGCAAAAAAATGATCAAATTTTGCTAAATTATGCGGGGTGCATAAAACTACAGGGACAGGTATATAATTTGTTGAATTATTGTTCCGGGAAAGGGGGAGGTTGAGAAATTGTGCTTGAATGGAAATGAAATATCATTTTTAAAGTTATGGTTTCTATATTATCTTTACGTTCAAGAATCAGAACGTTATAAACTTATTGGGTTCCTTTAGTCGGTATCCGTTTGGAGGACACTGCATTCTCTACCACTCTCTCATCGTGTCTCTGACACCCAATACTTAATTTATCTCAACTGCACAGGGTCATATGAGCGCGCATTTTGGGACTTGTAATGATGTATCAAGTAAACAATCTTTCAAGTTATTCCCCACCCCTACCTAGCTATCATCTGTCTGTCTGTCTGTCTGTCTGTCTGTCTGTCTGTCTGTCTGTCTGTCTGTCTATCTGTCGATCTCTCTCTTTTTCTCTTCCTCTTTCTCCTTCTCTTCCTTCCTCCCTCTCTCGCTCTCTCCCCTCCCCTCTTCCCACGTTTAGTCTAACGTTTCTCTCCTATCCAACGCCAACAGGTGAACGTGACCAACATGAAGCAGCAGACCCCGCTACATCTGGCCTTCATGGAGGGCCACGAGGACGTGGGCTGGATCCTGGTGGACGCGGGCGGCGACATCCACGCGCCGGACATTGACAAGGTCACCGCCTGGCAGTACCGCGAGAGGACGGCGGGAAGCGGCGCGGATACCGAGCGCTCCAAGACTGAAGAGGGCGCCACAGGGAGGGAGGGAGACGTCACTCAGCGCTCTGTGCGTTTCGACGATGGTGGTGATGGTGACGACAGGGATGATGAAGAAAACTCT